AGTCTCTGAGTGTCACATTGTTGTATTTGGAGGCAGCATCAAAGCAGTGCTAATTGCTCTCATCTCTCTGGTGTTATCCCCGCACCCAGCCCTGGCTGGGTAATGACCGTGCAAGGTGTGCATGTTCAACCTGGCTCCTTCCAGCTGGCTGCGATGGCTCCTCCTGCCTCAGGCTGGCTGCTGCTGAGTGCCTGGAGCTGCAGGGCAATCTGGATGGAGAGTGTCTGCTGGGTGTGCCAGATCCCACGAAAAACCAGATCTGTGGCACACTGATGGAGCTGGGAGAGAAGCCTGCCCTCGTGGCAGTGACAGCCTGTGCCATGCTGCTGATGGGAGTGACAACAGGGACTGTAATGACACGGAAAAAAAGCCTCACACTGCTCTCCCTTCTGTGCACATGCAGCAGGATAAAGGGAATGAAGCCCTGCCAGGCAGTGTGGGCAGGGCTGTGCACAGCCAGGTGTCACCCTCAGGTGTGTGCTGCCCTCCACGGGCTGAGGAACCCTGGAGAAGCCCCAAACTTGCAGTGACAAAGGTAGGAAGCCAAAGCAGATCAAATTATCTTTCCCAGACTGGCAGACCTGGAGGAACCATCACACAGGAGAGAGCAGTGAAAGAGAAACCCATACTGAGGTCTCTGCATTCCCTTCTTTCTGCCTGGATCCCCAGGGGATGTCACAGTTTGCACAGAATACTTGGAGCGTTTCCCTTCTGCTGGATTTTCTGTTAATATCAGGAAGAAGCCTGCCAGAGAAATGGAGAGAGATGATTTAAAGGATGGAACGACAGGACAGGGGGGAATGGCTCCAAACAAAAAAAGGGAAAATTTAGGTTGGCTATTAGGAAAATTTAGGGTTTTGCAGAATTGCAGTGGTAAAAACACTTTCTAAAGACTTCTCCATGAGCAGAGCTGGATAAATACTGAGGAATTTCTCATTTGCTGTAGAAGTTTCTTTGTGTTCCACTTGCAGATGGCCCCATTTGAAGGGAGTGTGTTGTTGAAGTGCCTGGCCAGTGCTGGGGACACCTCAGTGAAGTCCCTGCACCTCTCCCAGGAGTGCTGGTGGCACCTTTTCTGCACAGGTGGGCACCTTGTCTGCAAAGCTGGGCACAGCTCACCTCTGTTCTGGCCTGGCAGCCTCCTGACACAGAACAGGAGACAGGGACAGAGTCCTGTCCTGTCCTGTCCTGTCCTGTCCTGTCTGCTGCAGGACAGAGCTGTGACAGTCACTGCCACTGGGCTGGGGGATGGGAACAGGGAGAGAGAAACAAGAGGCTCCCATGGGGAACAGAATCCCAGCTCCTCAAATTGTACAAACCCATACAAACCACAGAACCCTCTCAGGCTGCACAGAACAAACCAGCCATGAAAAGCTGGTGAAATATTTCTCTTTTGCTCCGGTTTCTGCTCCTGTCCTTTGAGGCAGCTGCTCAGAAGCTGCAGGAGAAGCTGAGCACATCTGGCCCTGCCTGTGTGAGGCCCTGCCACCCCTGTGCCTGCTCGTTCCCCTCACATTTCCCTGCTTTCTATTCAGCCTGTTTGGTACCTGGAACAAGCAGCTTCCTGCCTGGAACAAACCCGGGATCCACCCATTCCTACTCAAGCAAGAAGAAATCCAGCTCCACAGAAATAATCACCCAAACTCCTATTAGGAGCTTTTTGTAGCTACATTAATTTTAGAAGAAAAATTAGGTCCAGAGTGCTGTGCTCGTTTTAATGAAGATTCACGGTCACAACTGAATCCCCTGACGAGGAGGAATCAGCTTTTGAGCACATCAGACTCATTAGAAACTCCTCACAAAGTCATCAGAGGCCGATGAGGGGTGGCAGGAAAAGGGGAGCGATGCTGGGCAGAAATTGGATTTCGGGAGTTTCTGAACCTGCACTTCCCTTCCCTGCCTGCAGCCGCGGCAGCTCCGGCACGGAGATGAAAGCACCCGGCAAAGAAGATAAACAAGAAAACAGCTCTGGAACAGTCACGCTGCCAAAAACAACCTGGGGAGGATGGGACGGGAGATAAAAGAGAAAGTGCCGGAGGTTTTGGAGTGACTTCCAGGTGGGGATGGAGCTGGGGAGCGGAGCTGTCACAGAGTCACTGTCACAGTCACTGCCACAGTCACTGTCACACAGCTCCGCGGCCACGGGGAGAGTGCAGCTCAGGCATTTTCTACCTCTCAGCCTCTGTCCTTCCCTTCCACAGCCAGCAACACGGTTCCAAATCCCAGGAAAGTCCCCGAAATCCAACATTGCTCCTTAGGGACTCTTTCCTTCTTCTCACATTTGCTTCAGCTTTTTCTCTCCCGTATTTTGGCTCTAGGCAAAGCAATGGGATTATACCGGGGATCCAGGGAAGCTCTGTCCTGATAAATTGAGCAGGAGGAGGCAGACGATCTGGTGGGGTTTCATCATCACCTTGGTGTGATAAAGCCGTGGTGGCATCAGAGGAGCACATGGAGTCCAAGGTTCAGTCAGTTCTGGAGGCTGGGCAGACACGGAGGAAAAGACAATCTCAGCCCCCAGACATCCTGTGGGACAGAAAACGTGGCACTCAGTGTTTCACCAGGCATTCTCTGTGCCTTTGTAATGTTTGGTGTAAGGACAGATTGCCAATTGCTTCTGTCTCAAAAACCTTGGATCTTTTCCCCGAGGATTGCCTTCAGCAGGAAGCCTTGCTCATCTGGGAGAGGTCACTGGGTTTTTGAGTGGTTTTTGAGCTCCTCTCCCCTGAGCAGAGGCACTGCAGAGACCTCAGTTCCTGGCAGGAATCAGCCAGGTGAGGGAAGGACACACATTGTTCCATCTGGGTGCCTCCCACACTTTGCAAAGCCTTGGAGAAGCAGAGATGGAGTTTCAAGGCAACCCAGGGCTGCAGATGCTTTCTGTGGTGACTTTGATGAGGACATGAGGAAGGCCCCCAGTGTTTGGAGATGGCCTCCCTACATCAGTCAAATCTGCTTCACAACTTTCGGTGTCAGGGTTTGGTGGTCACTCAGCAGGAGAATTATCCCCAAGGAGGGGCCAGAGGAGCTGGCTCAGGGTATTGGGGTTCAGAAGGGTGTGTGCATTAAACCAGCTCAGACTGCCCCTGGGTGGCCACGCTGGCTTTAGGCTGCCTCCTCCTGCCTCAGGTGTGAGCCTGGGGTCAGGTACTGCTGAGGGCTGGGGACCCCATGGTGTGGATTTACCTGGGCACGTCCCCAAACTCCAGAGCTCTGTGGCCGTGGAAGGATACCTGTCCTCCTGTGAGGAATGAAGGGATTTTAGATTTCCCCAGGTGTTCCCCAGCACCAGAGCAGCTTTAGACAGCAGAGCTAAAGCTTTATTTGCCAACCTCACAGTTCGTGGGATGTCCTAAGGGAATTACCAAATGAGCTCAAAGGGCACTCAGACCTTTCCTTGAGGAAATGATTCTCACAGGGTGCAAGACAGGGGGTTTTTACGGGTTGTTCTCTCTTTCCATTGCTCTCTTCCTCCTACACCGCATTTCCTGCTCTCCTGAAAACTGCCTGCCTGCAGCTGCAGAAATCCCTTCAGTTCCCATCTCCGTGTGCTCCTCCTTGCTGGAATTCCTTGCTGTCCTGTGTGTCCTTACAGCTGGCAGCACCTTGGCTGGCTTCAGGAAATGTTTGTAGAGGCTTTAGTTGGGTTTGCAGTGGGACACGGGGGAAGCACCAGGACTTTGAGGAAATTTTGCCTCTGTGGCTCAGAGCAGCGAAAGCTTCTCTGCCTGAAGGGATCTTGCTCAGAACAAACCTGTGGTGGCTGTGCCCGGGTCACTGGGCAGCCCAGGGCAGTGCCAGTCCATCCCTGCAGCATTCCTGGACGGGGGACAGTTGGAAGAAGTGGAGAGTGTATCAGACTGAAGTGCGGGTGCTGCTCTCTCTCCACCCCGAGCACATCAGGGAGCAGGAACTGGGACTCAGCCGGACCCCGCGCAGCTTCCCGGGGAGGTGCCAACAGCCCCGGGCGGGAGCAGCAATCCCTGGGAAGCCTGCGAGGCTTGTCCGGGTGCAGGGCTGGCAGCGCAGGGGGGGCAGCACGGCCTGGGGACAGCATGGCCGGACAGCCCTGGGGACAACGTGTGCCCAGCACCGGGCACTGCCCTGGGACAGGTACAGGGACCACATTCCTGCCGATCCCCGCAGGGACCGCACCCCAGGGACGGGTCCACACCCCACACACACCTTTAGGGACCACATCCCTGTCCGTGCCTACCAGGAGCACCTCAGACCACCAGGGACAGGTACATCACTACATCCCTGCCAGGACCACATCCCGGCGGACACGCACAAGGTCCGCACCCCGCACACACCTACACGTACCCTCCGCCCCGGGACCCTTCCCCGCGCCCCTCCGGAGCCCCCGGAGCGCCGGCGCCGCCCCGGCCGGCCGGTTCGGGCTGCGGGCGCGCCGCGGGTCGCGCTGCCCGGGCGGGCCGGCGGCGGTGCCGGGTGCCGGCTCGGCGGCGCGGCGCGGTCCCGGTGATGTCAGGAGCGGACCGGCAGCGGTGGGCGGTCCTTCCCCGGCTCCCGGCTCGGCTCGGCGCCCGCCCCTGCTCCGCGCCCGGCTCGGCGGCGCTCCGCTCCGCCCCCGGCTCGGCGAGGAGCGCGGGCAGCCCCGCGGCCCCGCTGCAGTCCCGCTCCGGCATGGTAAGGCCGTGGGCATGGGGCGGGCGGGCGGGGGCGGGCCGGGCTGCCCGGGGCGCGGCGCGCTCTCACCCTCTCCCCGTCTCTCGCAGCCCCTCGCCGGAGCAGCGCCGGGACCCCGCCGCCTCCAGCCGCGCTCCGCCGGGCTCCGCCGCTCGCTGCGCGCCGGCATGAAGCGGGGCGGCCGCCGCTGAGGAGCCAGCGCGGCGGCAGCAGCAGCGGGACCCCCCGGCCGCACCCCCCGCCCCCGCCCCGCTCCATGGGGCAGCGCCGCGGCCGCTGAGCCCCCACCCCGCCCGCCGCGCCCCCCGCGCCGCGCCCCCCGCGCTGCGCCCCGCGCCTCGCCCCTCGCCATGGGGCCGCGGCACCTGCTGCTGCCGCTGCTCCTGCTCTCCCTGCAGCTCCTGGCCCTGCTGCTGCTGCCGCTGCCCGCGCAGGCGGCCGGGCCCCCCCGCGCCAAGGGCAACCGGACCCAGGGGGCGGCGGCGGCGCGGCGGACCCCCAAGCCGGGCAAGGAGCTCCTGAACCAGACGCTGGCGGGCCCGGGGGCCGCCGCCCCCACGGCGCTGCCCGGGCGCGGCAAGGGCGCGGGGGGCGGCAAGGCAGCCCCCGGAGGCGGGGGCGGCGGCGGCGGGAGCTCGGCCCCGGCCCACGAGACGTGCTGGGGGTACTACGACGTGAGCGGGCAGTGGGACAAGGAGTTCGAGTGCAACAACAGCCTCACGGGCTTCCGCTACTGCTGCGGCACCTGCTTCTACCGCTTCTGCTGCAACAAGCGCGCCGAGAAGCTCAACCAGAGCCTGTGCCGCAACTACAAGAGCCCCGAGTGGGCCCACCCCACCACGGCCAGCGGCGCCCTGCCCGCCGACGGCGGCGACGGCGGCGATGGGGACGCCAACAAGTACGACCCGGACAAGGACAGCACCAACGCCACCGTCTACATCTCGTGCGGGGCCATCGCCTTCGTGCTCATCGCCGGCGTCTTCGCCAAGGTGGCCTACGACAAGGCGCGGCGCCCGCCCCGGGAGATGAACATTCACAGGTGCGCTCCTTCCCCTGCTCCCAGCGCCCCTCGTCCCCAGGGATGGCTCCTCACCGAGCGTTCCCCCTCGGCACAGTCTGCTCGAGGGTTTTGTCACCGCACTGCCCAGCCAAGGGTCCTCCTTTCAAGCGCCCGGCCGAGGGTTTCCCAGTTGTGCAGCCTGTCCAAGAGTTTCCCCTTTGCATGGCTCCTCCAAGGAATCCTTGGAGCTTTGCTGTCCCAGGGCTCAGTTTTCACACCGCTGCCCAGGGGTTCTCCCGCCGCACTCTCTGCCCAAGGAGTCTCCCTGTGAACCACCCACTCGAGTCTCTAAGCTTTGCTCTGGCTCACCATGAGTTTCCCCAGCTCCACCCTTCCAAGGGTTTCCCCAGTGCCATGACTCTCTGATGGCTCCCATTCTGTGCCACCCGTCCAAACGATTTCCCATTGTGCTGCTGCTTCCAGGTGTCCTCCCTTGAGTCATTTATCCAAGAGTTTCCCCCTTTCGATGGCTGTCTAAGGGTTCCCTCTTTGCACCATCCACCAAAGGATTTTCCCTTTCCGTCCTCTGCCCAGGAGTTCCTCCTTCTCACGGTCCAACCAGGGGCACCCGCACCTCTCCGGCCACCCCAGTGCCCACCTCGGGGCCTGTCCTGGTGCCCAGTTCCTCTTCTCCCGCGGCCGCGTTTGTGGTCGCCTCCCCGTTCCTTCAGCACCGGCTCCGCGGACAGCTCCGGGACAGCTCCGGGACAGCTCCCGGGTAATTCCCGGGTAATTCCCGGACTGTTCCCGGACAGCTCCCCGCTGTCCCGCTCTGCCACGAGTCCGTCCCGGAGCTCCACGCGCAGCCGCCTCTGGCACCCCGTCTGCAACCCGGCACCCATCTCTGTTCCCCGGCACCCACCTCTGTCCCCATCGGCACCCTCCTCTACATCCCAGAACGTCGCCCTTGCCCCTCGGCATCCCGGCTCCCCTCTCCTGGCCCCCAAAGCCTCCCTCTGCACCCCAGCACCCCCTTTTACCCTTCGGAGCCCCCTCTTGTTCTCCGGCACCCCGACACCCTCCTCCTGCCCCCCGAGTCTCCCCAAGTATCCCGGCTTGCCCCCCTGCACTCTGCACCCCTCCTCCTTTCCCTGGGACCCTGCCACATCCTTCCTGCCCCCAGTCACCCCCCTCCTGCACCCTGAACTCCCCTCCTGCCCCTTGGACCCCTGTACTCCCCTTCTGCCCCCGGCATCCCCCTCCTGCCCCTGGCACTCCCTGCCTGCACCCGGGATCCTCAGCAACCCCCAAACCTCTCCAAGCCTCCCCCTGCATCCCCCCGGGGACAGCAGAGCCGCTCGGACCCTGCGGGTCCTGCCCTGCCCGGGAGAAGTTTTGGAAGTGTGGCGGGGATGGATCTGCACCCTGGGTGGTGCCTTCACCGTGTGGGGCTGTGCGGGGAAGCGCTGGTGGCAGGCAGAGCTCTGCACATTCCCGTTTTTATTCGAGTCCCTCTCCAAACCCTGTCCTTGCCGGCCGGAGAGGCGGCTCGGTGTCCCCTCGGCAGCGGTGTCACACAGCGCTGTAATGACAGCGAGCGCTCGGCGTGGCACAGAAAATCCTGCTTCAAAGCAAAAGCTCGGGCGTCCGTAGCAATCCTCCTTTTGGATAAATGCGTGTTCTCTCTCAGTTCATATTTATTTTATGATGAAAAAGTCCCTCCAAATGATGAGTGCTGCTTGCGTGCCGTGAATCCGAGAGCTCCCTGTGTCTGAACATAAATATTGGTGAGAAGCTTCTTTAGAAGAACAGTGGTGAGCATCAGGGGGAAATACTTTAACTCTAGCAGATAATGCCTCCTAAAAATTATTTTAATGAAGATTTTAAAATCAGAACTCCTGAAATCATTGACCGTGTTTTTAAGGCTGAACTTCAGCTGCAATCAACAGAGACTGGGGGGGAGAAATATTATTTTTTTGTGAGGGAAAAAGAGATGAGTGACGCAGTTTTTATTTATTTGGGAAGATGTGTTTTGTTTAGACTCCTCCCTGCAGCGAGGACAAACAGTGAGGCTGGTTTACATTTGCTGAGGGTCTGGCCCACGTAGTCCATTCCAAATCCCACCTGCCCCTGGTCCCTGCAAGAATATAACTTCACAGTGTCAAAAACTACACACAGCTGTGCAGAGGCAAGGGTCCTGCAAATGGCTTAGCCAGAAAATCGGCTCTTTTAAGTCTTTTGTTAACTAAGGGACCGTTCCCCAGCTGCCCAGCTCTTCTGGCTTCAAGGCAACTTTGCCTGGGCCTTATCTTCACACTAAATTTGGAAATCTGGGTTGGATGTCCATATGTTACTTCTGCTCCAGCTCCAGCCTGCTGCAGGGTTGGATCCTTCGCCCTTGGAAATCAGAGCCAGTGTTGCCAGACTTGTCTGGATTCTTCCTGATGTTTTCATTTCTTTGATGCTTGCTTTGCTTTATTTAGATAAGTTCTGGTGAAATGATTCACCTGTGTGTAGAAGTATGAATGGCAGATTGAGTGCTCGGGAAGCTTGACTTCCAGAGCATTTTAAGGAGGTGATTGACTTCTATAATATGGTAGCTGGTAAAAGATTATACCTTTCAGAGCTATGTTACCTAAACTTGATCAACATCACACGAGGGTTTAAATACTGTGAAGTGCATCTCCTGCCCTGGGCTGAATGCTCTCAGTGCTCTAAGCAGAATGTAAATACGAGGAGAGAATGGTTTGTCTTTGTCTCTGACAGCTGCTGGGGAGTAACAGGGAAGGAGGAAAACAGGATGGGCTCAGATATTTCTGTCTGTTTGAGGTCGTGTCAGTTGGAGTGAAGTGTAACATCCAGAATAATTCTCTGTAGTGATGGTGAGTGCATTAAACCTCAGTGTGCATCCTCTGGGAGGAGGAGAGCAGCAGCATGAACAGAACTTGTTACAGGGGGCTGGAAAAAGCCTCTTGGGCTGGTATCCCACAGGCAGGGAAGATCAATCAGAACTTCCCTGCACTTCACCACGGGCAGGATCACACACTGTAAATTTTACTTCCTCGTAAATGCTCACTGAGCAGTGCCATGTGTGGATGTTATCCCTCTGCTCATTTCTCATCCAGCTTTTACAGAAAATCCTTATGAACTCACTAAGAAAGAACATTTTGAGGGAGGCAGGGCTCATATAATGTCTTTTGATGGAAGGAGGGTTTACAGATTCACAGGAGAGCTGTCACTGTGCCCTGAAGGAAGGGCAGGCTGTGCATGTGCAGCTCTGAGCTGGAACCAGCTCCTGTTTCCAGGCACTGCCACGTCCCTTTAAAGCACAGGCACTGCTGTGATTCTGGGCTCAGCAGTGGCACTCACTGAGACAGTCTTTTCTAACAGCAGTTAAATGGAAGTGCTTTGAAAACCAGGAGCTGAAATATTCCTATTTTACAGAAATGCTTGTAATGCTTTCAGTGGAACTAAGGGGTTTTCTGTAATTATAGGATCTTTCAGCCTGGCCATATAAAGCTGCCTCTTGTTTTGGGGGTTACACAGCCAGAGCTATTGCTGGGCTCCAGGTAGAAGCTGGGGCTGGTTTCTGAGAATTACACCCAACAATGCTGTGTGTGCTGATGCTCTCTCATGCATTGCTGAGGACGGTTTGTTTTTGTCTCATTGCCAGGCTTGTTTTCTTTTCTCAAGCATTTCTTAAGCACTATTTAAGAAGTATTTGCTTTACTTTCAGAATGGCAATGAGTTAGGGAATGTTTGAACAGGGAATATCAGCTGGCTCTCTCCAAAGCTGAGTGAGTTTTCCTGTAGGAAGAAGGGGTGACACAGAATGTTCTCATTCCATGGCCATGACCCTGCATCCCCATGCTACAGAATATAAATAATTCACAGATGTAGCACTGCTCCACGACCCCTGCTTAGCCTCAGCAGCAGCCACTGCACTCTGCTGACCTGGGAATGCACAGATTGGAACCTGGATAGAGTCAGCAGCTTGGGATTGAAATATCCCAAGTGCATCCCACTGGTCAGCTGAGCCAGAGGGACTCAGTGGCAGTGCTGGCCCTGGGGCACTGGTGGGAGCCCAGCTGCTCTCTGGGGAAGTAGCACAGGGATTTTTCCCAGCAAACCAGCTCTATGTGCTGCTAAAAGGCCTTTTCTGGCCTTGCATGGAGCGTGTCTGAGGGGTGGGAAAGGGAGAAGGGAAACAGGCTCTGTGTTGTGCTTCACTTCACCCTCCTCCCACAGCATCTGTGCTGCTGCAAAGAGGGAAGATATCTGTGCTCCTCTTCTCTTTAGCCTCTTTTCATCTCCTGCTCTGGGAGTGATAACTGACAGCTTTTATAAATGAACATCCTTTCCCCATGTAGAGACCACAGTTCCATTGATCCATTCCTGGTCCTTTCTGCTCCGTGGCTCTGAATTCCAGCAGGAAGCAGAGGCAATGGATCTGTTTGCCCCCAGCTCCAAGGAGGCTGCTGGTCTGTGTGAGCCTAACTTGAAATAGAGCAGGCTTTGTGTTCCTGCAGGCTGCATCTCCCTGCAGCTCGGGGGCCCTGTGCTTGCTGAGGGGTTGCTGCAGGGAGCTGCTTTCAGGTGTGAAGGTTATGAGCAGTGCCTCGCTCCAGCCCTGGTGTTTGAGACTGGGATCACAGGCAGCTCCTTCAGCTCTGCTCTCTCTGCCGAGGGCTGCTGGAGCCAAACAATCAAACTCCATCCGTCCCCAGGGCAGGGAGGCAGTGCTGTGAACACACCTGGCCACAGGGACTCTACAGAAGGTTTTCTTCCTTGGATGCTGTTCCTGCTTTCAGTCTCTTTCCACTGATGTGTTTTTGTGCTCTGCCTTTTTTCACTCCACTCGGACTCACTCGGGTGCCTTTCAGCTGCTCTTTGCCCTGCTTTGAGTTGTTTAATCCTGACGGTTTCTGAGTCTCCTCTGAAGTGCCCTGTCCCTCTCACAGGCACAGAATACAGGGCCACAAGCATAGGTCAGACAAAACAAAGAAAAACCAAAAAAGTGCAGCCATAAAATGACAGAA